CAATATAATCAACAATATCTCATACCCGTTCACTTACTTATATAAAATTGAGATTTGTTAACTAAAATTTCCTTGTCAACCAAAGCATGATTCGTTATTTCCTATTTTTCTCATTAACTCCATCGTCATACCAGCTTTGGATTAAAGGACTGTTGAAATCAACTTATGTAGATAAATATAATTCATTTCTCAGTGATATTGGAAGATACAAAAATCATTAAAAGAAATTGGTATTTTAGTTCACATTCTTACCATTGAATCACACTCATTCCGTTGTTAGCTTCGCTTTGGGCCAATCATGTCAAGTATAAGACTGATGAGTTTCATGATATTAATAGTGAATTCTTAAATAACTCATTTGCATTATCTGAGAATGTGAAATAAAGATGATTTATTTGAGCGTTGATCATAAGTTCACATCGAAAATGTGCCTTCCTTGATTTTAATAATCTACTTTTCATAATGGTTTAAACTCATAATTGCAGATGTTGGTGGATTAGTGTGAAAAGAAACATTTTTTCTTCATATGTCTATTTAAAAATTGTTAAGTTTTGAAGACAGTCGCTTCCGAGTAAACTGAAATTCTGTACACTTTCATTTAATAGCCCCGTAGAATTATGGTCTACGTCGGCTTTCAGTGCATGTATCTTTGTTACCATCATGATGGGCCTAATTGTAGATTACCTATGATGTGACTAATTAATCTATAAGGCCTTACATGGAAGTCACATCATTGTCTATATTGAGTCGTCCTATCATGACAGTCAACAATATGATGTTTAGCACTTCTGAAGAACACATTTAGGCTGGAGATAGAATAATATATTTCGTATGAAAAGGGATAAGCGAAATAGTGACTACGCCAACATGACCGAGCCATACCATACAGACCAAGCGTTCCCACGTTCACCGTTCCTGACCTTCTCTATGGTGTTAAATCTTGATTGTAAATCTCCTCAGTTATCGTCTATTCGGCTTCAAGGATTGTTTGGTTCGAAACTACTAACACTACAGATTCATACTCAGATAAATCATCAAGTTGTTTAAAAGATGAAAAACATTTGGAGAGTTTATATTTTATTATACTATAAAAGTATTCCCTCTTCTTCCATTGATTGTACATTAACGAAAGGAACTCATGGTGTCATGAAAAAGAATTAAGACGATGAAGAAGATTTTCTGTTCATCAATATCATTCGCCTAGCCAATTTGCGAATTTTTATACCTGCATGCGTATACAAAGAAAGAGAAACTTAATTCAATCTTTATTATCAAGGTCCAAGTGAATACACTCGAAAGACACGACAGATGAGGAGTTATCCTACTTTCTACAGATACTCCAATCCATGCAATTATTTTCGAAGAAAACATGAAACCCAAATTACAATCTACAATACTTCATACAGTTCTCAATAAAACTTTTCATCAACCTTGGGTTTAGATGAGATACTGCTGCTGAAATTTTGAATAATCGTCTAACGAAGTCCTTGAAGAGAACATTTATGCTGCCAAATTTTGCATTGTCCTTTACAACCGCCTCATAATTTGTAGATGTGAAAAGGATAAACTCTTTCATTGAACCACATCAGTGCGAATTTATAAGTTTACTTGTTCTTGTATAGGAGGTTACATAAACTGTATCACGAACATTGTCCCGTGCGGCTTTTGAAAGGCGTACGTCACTCAATCAACAGTTCAATATTGGAAAATCTTATAAAATGTGGATACATGGTATCACCTGAGAAATCGTTTCAAATCGTCTATGTAGTCAGATGAGATGATCCAAAAGGAGTGAAAACCAATAAATTATGCACTGGAGAGGTTCTAGCAATCAATCTTTTCAAATCTGGACTCTGCATCTAGGAGAGACATGTGCGAACCATCATTTTTCCATGGCCCTAACCCCTTAATTCCATGATCAATTACTTCATTTCATTATATCCTTCTACCGTTTTTAAGATTCTTGATTTCAATTACTACTGATTATCACGTTCATGTTTTTTTATTTATCCTATACCTTTCCCATACTCTTCAAGAGGACAATTATCCTCCTCACTTTTGATTTCATCTTATTATTTCTCTTCGATCCTCGATTGTTAAATAACTTTGACTATTTTATTCGCAAATCAGTAATAAATACGAATGTACATCTTGATTAAGTGAAATTGTCGAAGAGAAAAATTCTTTCATTGCCTAAATTCTTTTATACTACGTAATGCAAACATGGAATATATTTCAAATCATACTAGTCTACTTAAAAGTGTAGTAGTAAGGTTTTTCATATATATTTTTATTAGAGTTTGTTGATTACATTTTTCAGCATAGATTTCTATCACAGAACATGTTTTGTATACGAATGGTGAACTATGTATAAGGATTATACTTACGACGAGAACTACTGAGTGAAGTAAAATGCTACTTGAAGTTGATCAATGATTAATTGAATAAGTGATTACATAATGCCGTTCATATAAGCACGAATTACATTTGAATGACAATGAGAAATGAATCATTGTAACCTTATTTGAATCAATTAATCAGTCAAGTATTCTCCTGTTGCTTAAGGTATTCTTCTTTAAAAATGAATTCGTTTTATGAACGTTGTTGTCTATTTTATTTAAACAAGAATTATAATCTCCACTTTTAATGTATCTTGCTATTTCTACACTTTTATTAACATCATTTTAGTGGTATATAATTTAATTTTATCATTTTTTGTAAACTAGTAAACAATTCTCGATCAATATTGAAATACGCAGCTATTTATGTACAGTGGTAGGATTGACACTATTTTGCATAATTTCCTCTCAATTTGCTATTGGTTCGCGAAGACGAAAAATGACGAAATACCGTGATAATAATCATTGTTTTACGAGACTTTACTATGTTTATGATATTGAATCAAGATTATGACTATCAACAAAGGATAATCAATCATTTTCGTAGTGTGAGTTTTAATTGTAAACTGTAGTAGATGTAGAACAGAAGTAAAACATAAGACTACGGAACAAGTGTATCAGTTCTTTTTGACATACTCTTCATCCTTACTCATAAAGAAATTGATCGGAGAGTAACGAACGTGAGAAATTATGAAGATGATGTATCAATAGGTGGTGAGTGATATAGAGAAGAGCCAGAGTTTATTCATTATTAAGAAGACATGAAAAAGAATGACTCTCAGCCACTATCATGAGTTTTTAGTCGTGTAACTGAATATTTGCAACTATTAATTTTATACATGTCAATGGTCCTAGTTTAGAACTCTGTTTCCATATATAATGGTAAAAAATAAAAGGTCACTACCGTTAGGGACTGATAAAATGTCATCGTCGAATCCATGGCCACTGTTCATTTTCAGGCTACTCCAACTCTACTCGTCATAGACTCAGTTATACCTATTCGCCTTTCGTATTTAAAACTATACCCATAGCATTGCCGATCATGTGCCTTACCTAAATACTAGGGAAATTTCGAAAGAGTTTGTGATTTATTCCTTCTAGTTCTCATCCCCTAATGACTGATATTCCATTAATCTAGCGGTGGTATATGGTAGGCTATAGAATGATATGTCTGGTCTTTGAAAACTGTTCCAATAACCTTCTTTTGATATAAGAGATTAGAAACATTATTATCTGTGCTATTGTTTTATTACTTGGAAAAACACCATGGGACTATAACGGTTGCCCAAGAGGAATGACCTAATCATTCGATTACTTAATTTTTTTGAAGTCAAACGAGAAATATCTATAGCTACCAGTTTTAAAAATTTGTCTTGTATCAGAAGTGTGCTGAACTCATCAAACAATCGTGTTTTGTGCAATTTCTAGACATTTTGCTGTCATATGATAAAAACCCATTCAATTTCAATGGTATTGCGACTACTTTTGAATTAGCCAAGAATAATTAAATCTAGGTCTTGTTACTCGTTTGTCAAATAATGGATTTCAACAAGATTACATTACCGTTTCTTTTTGTATATATTATTTCCCAGTCTGTTTAATAATAAACATTCCCTACTCTAATAACAAAAACTATATTTATTATTAGCTTTCTACCTAATACTCAATTTATTTGAAACTAACATATCCCCTACCTCATTTACATTTCATTGACACAACCGTGCTTATTGGATTAAGAGATTAGTGGAGGTTGTACAGTTCTATGATAGTTCACACCATGGATCTGTAGTTCCTTCAAGATATGAGAGTGAACTTCTTGGTGCACTCAATAACGTAACGAACTTCGGAAGTTTTAATAAGAAAGTGTAACGTGTGGATTTGAAGAAATCGAAAGTAAGGGAACATGACTACAGATGATAATGTATGTCACGATGTAATTCAAATTGACCGAAGTAGAAAAATATGAGCTGATAGATTTTGACTAATTAACTAAAATATATCATTCCTATTGCCACACTTAAAGTTATGGACCTTGTGTATTAACACAATTGGAGAGTTTCTAATCAACGCGAAACGGAAATCCAGCACTGTCGAAGATCCTAATGCTTATGTGACTACTACCAGACTGAGGAAAAACGAATAACGAAATAATATTTCTACTTATTTATTGAATGGATATTGAGATCATTATAAATGCCATCGCGTTATCCACTTAGCTAGTGAGTCCTGTTAGTCACCTGCTTGTGCACTAGTAGCTGACGAGTCCTGGATTCTACTGCTAGCCACTATCCATTTTTGCTTATAGTACTTGTGCATTAAGGCAATGTCGAGGCACTGCGCACAGTATGCACATATGCTAATAAGAGACTGATCAGTTGCAGTCCTAAACATCAATAGGAAGATCTAAGTAAACAATACCAAGTGAGATATTCATATAAAAAATGCCAATGAAATTGTATGAACCATTCCTATCTTAGGAATGATGTTTCTGATCATAGTATTTAAATCTGTTTGGTCCACCTTTTATCCAAGACAAGATTGGTGTGAAAAAATGCAATAATATTGATATGCTACGTATCACATGTTACTTCAACTATATCCCAAACACTGGTTACTTTGTCCTATGTTTAATAAGTTAAACCTAATCCATTGGTCATTAATTTTTATAGACAGATAAATACGTACAGATATATACATGCAGACAAGATCGTTTGGTAATAAAACGATAGGTGGAAGTGGACATAGTAAACAGTGCGATGTTATTCGTCTCCGTTTATTATTGCTGAGATGATCACAAAAATACATACATGCATGTAAACACTAATGGTGTACTTATAGCAGTCAATTATTTTAAGTGTTTGTTCATTTATGCCCTAAGTAGTTAACTTTTTGTTTACATTTTGCACATATAAAGATTTGGCAGGGATGTGCTTCTAATAACCTGTCGTTTTACGCGGAAGTGCAATACATATTCGCATTCGAAATGGGAAACATTTAAATCGTAGATTGCTTTATTCAGGAGCCTATCATTCTAACAAAGCAGACTTAAAAACTATTTTTCATGAAATCATGTGAACAAATGAATGCAAATACAGTTGAGAATTTTATATATTTTGAGACGCTAGTATAAAAGAATGGAAAACGAAAATCACCTCTATATGGGGAATCAATGAAAAAATTCAGTTTACTGACCATATAACTATCTGCTTTCATACTGAGAACTTCTATTTTGGAATGTGCAATCAATGGAAATCACTTGGAATAATAATAATACTAACAGTAACACCGTTACAACTAATTCATCAGTACCAAACACTACTGAGACTGTTTTCACTAATAACAACACTGTTGGTCCTAATGACACTCCAAATGTCATTCCGAACAGTGATAGTAACATTTTAATCAATGATCGAGTCTCAGGAAATGAGGGTGTTAATGGTTTGCGTAAACCACGTCGTAAAACATCACATGCTCATATATTAAAGTCGAAAACATTCTACAAAACCGTAGACAGATTTCTAGGTCGAAATCTACCCTTAAAACAATTAACAAATGCTTACAAAAGTCACTTAGCATCAAATAATCAACTTCCTAGTGTTGATCACATCTCAGTACGTAGCCATGATTCAATAACAGACATCCTAGAAAAGTCTGTTTACATGCCAGCATTTCTTAGAGCTCGCAAACATCATTGTCGTGTAGTACTGAATGTTGGTGGTGAACGACATGAAGTAATGTGGAAGACTCTAAGGCGTCTACCGTTATCTCGTCTTGGCCGGTTGAGTATATCAAATAATCCTGCAGAACTAGCTCAGTTGTTTGATAGTTATTCGAATGAGAAAAATGAATTATATTTTGATAGATATGCACGTTCATTTGGTTCAATCCTTGGTGTTTATCGTACAGGACATTTACATTTTTTGGAAGACATTTGTGTGGTGGCTTTTAAAAATGATTTATTCTACTGGGGTATAAATGAATACCAATTAGAAACGTGTTGTTATTATAAATATTATTTAAAAAAGGAACAGGTTCAAGAAGAATTAAAGAAAACTAGAGAAATAAATCTATCTCAGGCTCAAGAAGAACAATTTGGCACAGGAAGGTGGGCTACATTGCAGAAGTATATATGGGACTTAGTTGAAAAACCCCAAACTTCAATGGCTGCTAGAGTAAGTTAGACATTGATCTTTTCAGTTGAACACTGATAGCAGATTGATTTATTCTGAAACAAGGCATTTTATTAATTAATATCGATTAATTCAACTGAATTATTTAGTCCTTAAGTCAGTGATCACTTGGTATTACTGTACTTTGTGATCAACTGCAGCAATTTGAGTTTATTTTTGTCTATTTTAGTGACCCGTTAATTTAACTTCGCTTTTAAAGAACGAATAAACATGTCATGAATAAAAATCTTTCCGTATATTATACCTAAGCTAAAACCGTTTGTGAGACAGCGGTGTTAAGAGGACAGATACAGAATGAGTCGGTTTAATTTATAGCACGCACTGGTTTATTCAAATAGACAGACAGACAATAAGAACAAGAAGTGGGAAAGTAAAACAAAGGAGGAAGAAAAGTGTGATAACTCCATTTGATAAAGCATGACTCAATATTTACAGCCAGAAAAATTAGCTCCAGACATGTGATGAATAGGGTGAGCGATGCAAACATTCACTCATATGAAAGTATGATAAGTGAATAATTGAAAAGGTGAAAATGGGACTCATGAAGAATAAATGAACTGCCTTATCCGTAAGCCAGATTAACCTATGTGAACTTGACATAGTACTAGACAAAACTATATTCAATATATATTTACTTGACCCTGTTACCCCTCGTGGAGGAGCATAGACCCTCCCTTAACAGTCTCCATCGAACTCTGTCCTAAGCATTCCTTTCCAGTTGTTTCAAGCTGCTAGTCACCCTTTTGATGTCTGCTTCCATTTCCCGACTCAATGTGTTCCTTAGTCTTCGCATTTTCTGTTTTCCTTCAGGATCCCAAGTTAGGGCTTACTTCGTAATACAGTTTGATGATTTCCTTAATGTATGTCCTACTCACCTCTAACGTCTTTTTCTAATTTCTTCTTCAGCTGAAAGCTGGCTTGTTCTCTCCCATAGTTGCTTGTTGCTGTTGTTATCCGGTCAACGGATATTGAGTATCTTACGTAGGTAATTGTTCATAAATACTTGTGCTTTTTATTATGGTTGTAGTAATTCTCCAAGTTTCAGCTCCGTATAGTAGAACTGTCTTGACGTTCGTATTAAAGATTCTGATTTTGATATTTGCTGACAGTTTTTCCTGAGTTTCATATGTTCTTCAACCGTGGGAATGCTGCTCTTTCTTTGTCAATCCTTGTCTTTGAATTTGCATCAGATCCTCCTTGTTTATCGATGATGTTGTCTGGTCCTGCATCTTCCCCACTCTTGATCTGTCTGAGGGCTATGCTGATTTCTATGATAGTTGTTGGAGTGACATCTATAGGAAAGTCTATGGGTGTTGCTTCGATGTCCGGTGGGTTCAGTGAACTGGTCTTTTCAAGATTTCTTCGAAGTGCTCCACTTATCAGTTCGTTTGTTCTTGAATCTCAGTAATTGGTTTATTCTTTTGTCATTGACCGGTCTTTTTGGTTTACTATATTTCCCTGACAGCTTCGCTGTGTTTCATGGTTATTTCATATTTCCTTTTGTTACAGCTTTTTCCTCTGTCGTTGTTAGGCCTTCCACGTATTTCTGATTATCGACTCTGATGCTCCACTTCACTTGCTTGTTTTCTCTTGTGTATTCAGCTTGTGCCTTGAGCTTCTTTGTTCTTGTTTGGCTGCTGTTGATTGGTGTCTTCTTGTTCTTCCTGTCTTATATCTTGCGCAGGTTATCATCAGAGGTCTATTCCATACGATGTAGCTTGCTGTGTCCCAGAACCTCTTGGCATTCCGAAGTTATTGCTCCTCTGATCCTTTTCCAGTTATTCTTCATGGTGGTTTCCTCTTCTTCAAGCAGATCTTTTAAGGCTTGGAACCTGTCCTTAAGAGATATCCTGAATTGATTAAGTTTGTCAATATGTCGAAGGAAGGCTGTATTAAACCTTTGTAATGCTGTTTCTCCAGTTGTCTAGTGCTTCTTTAACTTCAGCTTCATCTTGTCAACCACAAGCAGGTGTTGATCTAAAGCCATGTATTCTCATCTCCTGGTTCTCATGTCTTCCATTGACCTTTTGGATGTTTTAGTGATGTAAATGTGATCGATCTGATTCTCTGTGGTGTGATCCGGTGTGACCCATGTAGCTTTGTAAATGTGTTTGTGAGGGAACGTTGTTCTGGGAATATCGTGTTGAGATCAGTCAGTTAAAAAATTAACTAATAAGGCTATAGCATCGCAATAAGTGGTGTTATTAAAATAGGAGAGACAGAGAGAGCGAAGAAAATTACGAAAATTCTGTAATAAAGTGACGATAAAATCACAATGGTAAGAATATATTTGCATACATTAGCCCGGCTTTAGTCGTTTAATGGCTATGACTTTGACAAATCTGCAAAGGATGGTTTTCGACTGTCAGTTGATGTTGAAAATTTTCAGTCTATCACCCTGATGCCTCGTACCACAGCGGTGTTTGGTAATAGCACTGCTTAAAGCCTTAGATCCCATTGATCTGAGACATTTTGAGATATATTCTTGGAGTCAGTCCTCAATTTCTCATCTTTTCCATTATTAGGTGAAAATCTAACCATCTTGATACATATTTTAATTTTTTTTATTTTTAGCTCATGATTTCGTTATATGGCACGTTAATAGGAAGAAAAATTAATAGAAGCGATAACCATAAATCTTTAATATCATGAACTGTTAAAACATAATGCTATCCTTTGACGTTGGTAACAAAATTGTTAGAAAAATAATAACTAATGAATAATCTTTTGAATAATCCATTAGTTCAAAATAAATGTTAACTATAAATAACTTTTCATTCCAGATACTAAATTAATCTAATGAAAATATGGGAGAATCTAAGCCTTTGGAACTGTTAGTTCTCCCCTTTAGAGAATAATGTCCTGAGCAATTTCATGTGCATTGTCATGCATTATTCTTTATTGAAGAATATTTTACCGCTTGTTAATCTATAGAATCACCAAAAACCATACCATACTACATTTCTCGTATAACCTTTCTTCAGACGCCTAATTCAAGCTAACTCAGCGAGTTATCTCACTAAAAACCTTTGGGTCTATAATTGATCGGTCATTGAGTAGTGATCAGTGTCATGTTTGTCTAGTTCTTTTAGTGCTGATTGCATTCTTTCTATCAAGTTATCAAGCGGCTATAGTCTAAATGACTCGACATGGCGTGCAACGTGTCAAGATTTTAGATGTTTGAAGGCAGTCAACAAGAAATCCTGGATCTAGGTTTTATGTTATTGGACACCTGGCCGTTGGAATGTGATCAAAGCTAAAAGACTAGATAAACATAACATTAGTCACTAATCAGGGATCAATAAATTATAAATATCTGTCCTACAGAATAGCTCAATGGTAATGCCTCTGACTAAGAATTCAGGTGACACGGAATGAAATCTGCCAGGGATCACTAGTCTCCTCAAAGTTAGAGGTACACGTTCCTAATGAGCGCCAAATAGCAAAGAGTCAAAACTGAGGGTTTCCTGCCAACTACTTTCAACCTCCTGATATCCTGAACTTTAAATCTATTGGTAGGCAAATAATTCAGGATCACTAGGGCCTCAGTTATTACTTTACGTTTCCAGTCTTAGTAAGTTAGTAATATTTATTATCACCGATGAGTTAATAATTTGTTTGACTCCTTAAGTAAACTTTGATTGAAAATGTTACTCAGTTGGTGTAAACCAAATAATTCTGTCATGATTCTACCATTGTAAATTGTATAAAATCCTTCACTGAAAATGAATCCATGTGTTTGACCTTAAGGGGATTTATAAAGCAGTCCAACTGTTGCTCAAATATCTGCTTTATTAACGTAATTCAATCTTAAAAGAATTGGTGTTTAGTTTTGATTTCGATTAAATTAGTTATTTTTTAAATGAACATAGATTTCACCACAATGATGAATAAAATAGGGGTAAACTGATGGGGCTCGAAAATTTTATTCAATAATGTTAACGAGACTATCTATAATAATTATAACTTAAAGGTTTGCAAAGTATTTTTCTCACTGATAGATTAGTTTCACTCATGAAGATTGCTAGTGTAAGGTTTTGTGATGTTAGATACATTCAGACTAAAATCAGAAGAGTAAGCTTTATTAACAATTCAGGAATGAATCAATGAAGCTCCTGATTAGTAATTTATCCACATTTTAGGCTCTTCGACAGACGACGTCCACTAAAACGTATATGATTAAATCTGAATGTCTAAGTATTACTAGAACACAGCCACTGATCTGAATTTTCGAAGTTGGTCACAAATGAAGATAGAATTATCTTGAATTTAGACGGCTTAGAGTTTCCATTTACTTCAAAAATAACTTCACGCTGTAAATAAACCCATGGTTGACTCTTTTTTAATTTGTTTATTCTGAGCGAAGACTGAAAGCTGTGTATATGTGTATGGAACACACACACAGAGAGAATACATAAAAGAGCGCCATAAATAGTTTTCTTACAAATATTGATAACTATTTTTGCCCCTTGTTTTTCAAAAAAAAATTATGTTACCTTTTTTATCTGGAAAGAAAACTGAACTGATGAGAAAGACAGAAAGCGGTGACAATGAAGTGAGGAAACTAAATTTTTGTGAAAATAGATATTAATTATATATATCGCTTCATTGTCATTGCTTTATTAAAAACAAGACAGCAGCCTACAATCAGTCGATTGTTTCAGAGAGTTTTTTTTTTATTTTCACGAAAATACATTGTTAGTTTATAATTAAAGATTCATAATTAGCATAATGTTCATTGTTTTCGTCTTCTAAATCAAAACAATAATGGATTGAATTGATAATAATTAGCAAAACAATATTATTAAACTTATCATAATGATGGTGATAATAATATCAAAGGCTGAAGATGAAATTAGGAAATTCAATTACTTTAAGGGGGAAAACCGATGGAGCTCAAAAACTTTATTCAATAATGTTAACGAGACTATCTATAATAATTATAACTTAGATGGGCAAACTGAACTAAAATCAACAGAGAA